CGGAGACGTGCCTTTGCTCCGCGGCTCCCTAGTCTGCTGGGGGTCCCTTCCCCCCCAGCAGACCAGGGAGACACGGAGCAGCTTTTCTTGCCTCGGAGGACGCGGGCGGCGGGACCTCGGCGCGTCTGGGCGGTCCTGCCGCCCGCGTTCTCCGGGCCGAGAAAAGCCCTGTTCGTAAGTAGGGATCCGACATAAGTCGGATCCGCGTAACTCGGGGACTGCCTGTACATTCTGAATCTCTCTATATAAAAAGCTTTTCCTTCCACATGACAGAATGACATAATCAGGGCCCCAAAAGCGGGGGAGAGGCAATGAGCATAGTGAGCACCGGGCACAGCCCCCTAGTTTGCTTTAAGAAATTTGCATAGTTACATTGATTTTTGGCTTGAAATTAGCAAGATCTTATTTTAAAAATAAGAAAACACAGTTTACTATACATTTCAACCTTCAATTTGCTTATTTTCTGCTACGTTTTTAGGTGGTGTTGAACAATAGAACCCTAGAAACCCTGCCACCTTCTTTCCTGTCCTGATCACCCATAACCAACTTTATTATTCTCAATTCAATCAAAAATTTCTGACAAACACTTTGGCCAACAAATACACGGTTCTGAATCCCATCTCCTGAAAACAGAACTACAAAAAATATCTACAAATAGCTCAAATCTCGAGAGTTTCTATGGAATCCATGAAATTCATGTGACTTAAACCAGTGTTAGAAGAAATGTTTTGCTGCTGTGACCCAGCCCTGTGATTTAAAGGGGAGTACTTGGACAGAAAAAGACTGTGATAACTGCTGAGGCCCTGGTCTCTTCAGCCTGGAGAGAAACACTTCTGCAGGCTGGCTTGTGCATCTCTGTTGAATGACTGTAGCATTTCTGCTGTCCGAGAATATGTGTGTTGAGAAGAAGGCATATTGCTTTCCTGCAGACTAGGGAGAGAGTTGCTACTTTTAATTTCTATTGATTTTTTTTTTTAGATCATTTATGTTACAGAAATTCATAAGGCCCCAGTCTGCAATTGGGTCCTCAGAGTGTTAGACTAATATACACACAATGCAAAGATGTTCCTTGGCCTAGTGATTTTAGAATCTCAGTACTAATTACAGTAAGCTTCCGATAATCCGGCACCTTTGGGACCCAGGGGGTGCCGGATTATCAGATATGCCGGACTATCGGAAGGGGGAGCTATGAGGGGTCTGGGTGGGGGGGGTGCCACCCCAGACCCCTCATAGCCCCCCCTTCCGATAGTCCGGCTCTGCCCCCGGCGTCCCTGATTCAGCCGCTGCTGAAACTGACCAGCAGCGGCTGAATCGGAGACACCTGGGGCAGAGCAGCTGGAGTGCTGCCGGGTTGGTTGGGGTAACGCCAACCCTTGGCGCGGCGAGACCAACCAGGCAGCACCCCAGCTGCTCTTGGGGACGCCTGGGGCAGAGCAGGTGGGGTGCTGCTGGGTTGGTCCCGCAGCGCCGCTCCTTGGCGCTACTGGATCAACCCGGCAGCACCCCAGCTGCTCTGCCTCAGGCGTCCCCAAGTCAGACGTTGCTGATACTGATCAGTAGCTGACTCCAGGAAGCCTGAAGCAGAGCTGCTCTGCCCCGGGCTTCCCGGAATCAGCCGCTGGTCAATTTCAGCAGCGGCTGAATCGGGGATGCCTGGGGTGCTTCCGGGTTGGTCCCGCAGCCCCCAGGAGCAGCGCTAGGGGCCTACCCTGCAGCGCCTCAGCTGCTCTGTCTCCGGCTTCCCCGATTCAGCTGCTGGTCAGTTTTAGCAGCGGCTGAATAGGGGAAGCTGGAGGCAGAGCAGCTCCAATGGTCCGGCTGCGGAGCACTTCCGGGTTCCTGATGGTGCCGGACCATCAGGAGTGCCGGACCGTCAGATGCCGGACCAATGGAGTTTTACTGTAATTTTAAGGTACCAAGCATTTAAACATTCATCTTAGTTATTTAAAATTAATTGATTTCATGGTATGGAAAAATAAGCCACAAATTCCAGAAGTACTTGTCACAGAAACATCCAGTAACGTGCAATAAAATTACAGGTCTGTTTGCATAACCTTAGAAAGAGTAAATATCCTTGAAGAGCTTAGAATCGAAAAGTACAATAGAAAGCAAACAGTGTGGGATGTCGTTTTCATAACAGAGGGAGGTAGGCCCCAGACCTGGCGCAAACTGGGACTGAGCAGTCATCGCTCCCGCCGGATCCTGGACTGTTGTGCCTTTGCCTCCCTGCTTTCATACTATGGAGTCAATGCTAAGGGGAACCGACTCCTGCTCCCCCTTTTGATACTGGGGGGGAGGGGAGGGAGAGCGAGTAGTTGAGTAGTGACTTGACTTAAATCTCTAGTTTTAACAGGAGGCATTAAAAGAAAAGGATACGTGTTTAATGAGGCTTATAGAAAAAGGAAGGTGCACTATTCAGTAGGGGTATTAATGTGTAATAGAATAGTCATGTAACCAATAGCTTTTTAGCGGTTACACAACTGTTCAATAGTCCCTGGGGGTGGGACTGGCAGCCAGTGCACTTCCAGCCCCACTCCCAGGGACCACCCTGCCATTTTATGCTGCTGTGTCTCTATCAGAGGTAGCAGCACAGGGTGGCAGGCGAGAGCCGGTCTGCAAGGAGAGCCAGTTTAAAAACCGGCTTCCTGTGCAGACCAGCTCCACCTGCCGCCCTGTGCTTCTGCCTCTGTATCTGGGGCAGCAGCATCCTCGGTCCTTGGGATGCCTGAGCTCTCCATGACAGAGGCTGCTCCATGGCAGCAGCTCCTATCCATGGGGGTCAGGGCAGCCTCTGTCCAAAGGGAGCTTGACTTCTCCACGGACAGGGGCTGCTGTCACAGAGCAGATTCTGTCCATGGCGGGCCGCAGCTCGTGGACAGAGGCTGTTCCGTGGGATACAGAACAGCCTCTGCGGGGAGCTCAGCCCCTCCCAGCCAAGGGCTGCTACCGCAGAGCAGCCTCTAACTGCAGCAAGCCCAGGCCTGCCACAGACAGAGGCTGCTTCGCAGCACAATTTCTGTCCCATGCTGCTGCCTCTGATATAGGCAGCAGTACCGGGGGGACAGCAGGTGGCTCCTGCCTCCCTCCTACCGCCTCTGTAGGAGGTAGCAGGGAGGGGACAGGCAGGGCCGTGGAGTTGGCATGCACAGAGGGCTGGCTTAAAAGCCAGTTCCTTGTGTGTACTGGCTCCCACCTGTGCTCCCGCCTATGCTGCTGCCTCTCGGAGGGAGCAGTGTGGGGGTGAGCAGGGAGAGCTGGCTTAAAAGCAGCTCCTGCCCCTCCCCTTTCCTGCTGCCTGATACTGAAGAAGCAAGGGGGGAATGTGTGTAGTAAACAGGATTAACCAGTGAGCCTATTAGTTTATCAATTAATCTTGTAATCGTCTACACATTGTCATCCCTATGGTTTATTTAGGGACTGAATACAAAGGGAGGAAGGGAGGGTCTGGCTTTAAATATGTAAGAATGACTGCTGTGGAGGATAGTGCAAGTTGTCAGCATTGATAGAGAAGTGAGCCAGAGTAGGAGGGAAGTTACCTTCGGATTTGAGGTGTCACTGAGGAAGGTGTCCAAGAGATGTTTGAGCTGCTGATGAAGAGATGCTCAAATGGAGAGAAGTTGAAAAATCAGGATAGAGTGATAGTTTTAGTAGTAAGTAGTGTTGATTATAAAGATAATAGTTGAAGCTAGGGATGTAAAATCCTGCTTAATCAGTTAACCTAACATTTAACCAGTTAACTGACTAGTGGGATTTCAATGCTCCAGCTCCTCAACCCACTGGGCTTCCACTTCCAGCTCCTGTGCTGGGGCAGGTGGCTGGCTCTGCTGACTCCTGGTTCCTGGCTTCCGAACCCCACACTAGTGCAGGCCGTGGGTGGGGAGCTGCTCTCCAGGGAACCAGTTAACTATTACCCAGTAAGCATCACCTTTACTGGGTGATACTGGGTAACCGATTACCTGTTTACATCCCTAGTGGATACTGGAGTGAATGAGAGCAACCAAATGGAGAGTGTAGAAGAGTGGTTAAATATGCTTGTTGAGATTCTAAAAGAAGATGTAGTTCTCTCAAAGAAATATTGAAAAGTCATTGAAATAAGAACTTGAGGCCTCATCTACACTGAGTTTATGAAAATTTACCGCTGCTACAGTAGCACTAATGACAATGCTAACATTCAGTACACAGGGTTATATGAAATAGTATAGCTCAAACACCAGTGTCTTTAAAACTAATTCCCTGCCATTGCTAGCACAAGAGCCTAAAATAGAGGCATCACCTGGAGAGTTCAAAGTCACTGCCATTGAGGAGAGTATTTGGAAGATGAAGCAGCTGTCTGTAACAAGGACAGAGGTGAGCTCGAGGAGAACAAGGATAAAGTAAAACTGGCCAGACGTAAGAGGTTGGTCAAATTTGCAAATGGTTTTCAGTGGATGGAAGAGGACAGAAGTGAGATTGGAAATAGAAATGTGGGGGCTTTGAGTAGATCTCTTTGAAAAGAAAAAGAATAGGGTGTTTACTGGTGAGATAGGAAGGACTTTCTTGGGGAAATCTGAAGAAGCAGATACAGTAGAAAATGTTTTCAGAACAGGAGAGGCAATACATATATGGAGATGGAGGTGAGATTCCTTAATATCTTAAAACAGATTGATTTGGAAAGTAATAGCTTGGAAGAAATTAAACAGTGCTCATTCTTTTTCCATTTTTAAGTTTTTTACTTAATTGTACTAAATTTTCTTTTGTTTCATGTTCTAGGTGTAGAAAAACAAGCTTGAAAATGCTGTCTAGACTCTTTCGAGTGCATGGCCTTTTTGTTGCCTCTCATCCATGGGAAGTTATTGTGGGGACTATAACTCTCACCATCTGTATGATGTCCATGAAGATGTTCACTGGTAATGACAAGATCTGTGGTTGGAATTATGAATGCCCAAAATTTGAAGAAGTAAGAAGTTAAATTTATTTTGTTCATAGTTAATCTACTACTTAACCCTTAAACTACTCTTAAAGTGCAGATTTTTCTCATAGAATAAGGACAGAGGGAGGGGAATTGCCTAAAATGTTAGAAATGAAGTAATTCTTTTTGCATATTTTTCCCATTTTAGATAGACATAAGCAGTTACTAGACAGTGTGACATAGTATATCTTTGTTAACTTGAGTTCTTAATCATAATGCACTTGGTAGACTAGGAACACTTCAGTGTTTTTGCAATATGTAAAGATTGTAAAATGTGATATAGTATGGTCAGTTATTTTAATTTGAAACAATTGAACATTTTTATTTTGCAGCTTCAAAAATTTAAATGTATGGCACTTTTAATTGTTAAACTTTCATTGTGTTTTAATGAGTCAACTAAAGCCATTTTTATTTCAAATAGGATGTTCTTAGCAGTGACATCATAATCCTGACAATCACACGCTGTATAGCAATCCTTTATATATACTTCCAGTTTCAGAATCTAAGGCAGCTTGGATCAAAATATATTTTGGGTAGAGTATCTTATTTTGTATTTATTATCTTAGTTGCTTGGTTGTAGAATAGTGTTGTTGGTTGTTAGAAAATAAATGTTCAAACATATAGTGGGATCAGTCTGTCTCTCTAATAAGTAACAAGATGAACATTTCAGTATTAAAACATTAAAAGTGAAATAATTATTGAAGTTTTGACTGTCTCAGAAGTGAGGTGGGAGTATATAACTTTTTAAAAATTTAATTATTGAAGTATGCATTGACAAAACTTCATCCGGTTTCCACTTCTGTGATGTCATGAGAAATCTGGGAGGATGAAGTCCCTTTCTCTAGTGAAGAACTAAGAGATTTGTCCCTAGGATTCCTCAGGATCTTCAGTTTTGTTAAAATGTAGAACTATTCACACTCTGAATAGCCAAAAACTGTGATTCTCTTTGGGGAATCTTATAATTGAAAAAAAAAATCACATTTAAATCCCATTCATCAGAATTTTGCACGTGCTTGTGATTTTCACACAGAATGTCAAGAGGGAGTTTAAGTTTGTGAAGAAAATAGGATCTGTTCCAAAGAGCATGTTCTTTCAAATGTTCTTATTAAAGGGTAAAAAAGATTAGTGTTTATTAAAACTAGCCAAAGGAAAATAAATTTCCCTTAGACCAGTGTTTCTCAAAGAGGCCTGTAAAATCACTTTAAACACACTATGGTGGCCAGTTAGCAGGTTTCTCATTTACCGGCGCCATGGTCACAGAGCCTTGCAGCTCCCATTGACTCTGGTTCACCGTATGCAGCCAAGGGGAGATGCGGGAAGCTGAAACAAACCTAAATATCTCTTAATAATTTGAATTCTGTATTTTACGTATGTACAATAAGCATGCATATGTCAAAATAGATATTTTACTGTGATCATTCATAAATGATAGGGTTAGAAAAGTCCTCTTACTTCATATTCAGCCATTGATTTAAAAGCCTCTCAAGTAAAATATATAATCTGAACTAAACCCATTACCTCCAAAACAGATTAAATTGGAGCAGAGTGTTGAAAAGTTCCTCTGGGCTAGAGTAACAGTTAAACACTTGAGTCAGAGATGTTTGTGTACAGTATTACTGAAAAAGAGATGTATGTAGTGTAAAATCGTATGAACACAGTCCTTTAGAAGGAGGAGAAAATTAGTTTGTGAAATGTTTAGGTTTCAGTGCCTTCTTATTTCAGTCTGGAAAGGTCTAAAATTGCAATTCTTTCATTTTTAAAGGTATTGCTGGCCTCTTCACTATCTTCTCAAGTTTTGTTTTCAGTACAGTGGTAATTCACTTCCTAGATAAAGAATTGACAGGCTTGAAGTAAGTACTGCACATTTCAAGGTTTTTAAAAATGTAAATGGCTTGAAATCCTTGTGCTTGTGTTGGATAATTTTTTAATTCTAATGTAAAGCATGGTTCTTGTCTAAATTATTTAAAGCTCCATCATTGATATATTAACATGATTAGCTGCTGTTTTAAAAATGATTTTCCATTGTGTATAATTCACAAGTTTATTGTTTTTAAACTTTGGTATTGCATCATTAATGTGTTCCTCTGTCTCTTGTTTCAGTGAAGCTTTACCATTTTTCCTGCTTCTGATTGATCTATCTAGAGCCAGTGCATTAGCCAAATTTGCACTTAGTTCCAACTCACAGGTCAGCCTTACTTTTTATAATGTAGCTATTGAACTTAATACTTCAAGATATATGAGCACATGAACAAAAATATACATACTAATAATAATGAACGTAAAATATACATACTAATGCTATGTCAGGTCTTCCTACTGTCATGTGGTTCGATTTTTAGATCCAAGGGAAACCAGGACACTCCAGAGAGACTTAACCACTTTCTTATTTATTGCAAGCTTTAAGCAGTTAATATAGTTGTTTAAATTTTACAAGTCTCAAAAGCACCACCCAGTTTAAACCTTAAATACTATAAATTCTAAAGCAGTTAATACAGCTCAATGCAAAAACAATTAATAGAAGATTATTATAATACACTAATTAAGCCTAGTTCATTTACACTTCACCCATATGCTACCTACAAAACCAAGCCTTTAAATCCTGTCGAAACACCATGCATTACTGTAGCCAGTGTGAAGGGGTATATTACTTCTAGTTACAATGAGCAGGTCCTGTGGGTCAATCCTGCTCCCTCCCTTCCACTGATTCTTTTAAAAAATGAGCTGCAGATGCAGATACCCATGGATATAAAGCAGATCTTTGCGGGTTTGCAGGGTTCTACTTATTCCATGCCATCCCTGACACTATTTTTGTGCTGCTGATTCTGTGATAGTAAATCTGTTTAGCTCTGTCAGCTAATCAAATCCCTCAAGGCTAGTTTTTACAACATCTGTTAGCACTGTAAATAATTTAGCATTTTAGTAAGTTTCAGCCTTTTGAATCCTGAGATTTTATAAACCTAAGAATCTACATTTAATACTTCTTGTGGAGGAAGGAAGGCTCCTATTTGTCCCTAACTAGTATACTTGCTATAATGGCCTTGGAAAGGGTTCAGAAAAGGGCAACTAAAATGATTAGGGGTTTGGAACGGGTCCCATATGAGGAGAGGCTAAAGAGACTGGGACTTTTCAGTTTAGAAAAGAGGAGACTGAGGGGGGATATGATAGAGGTCTATAAAATCATGAGTGGTGTGGAGAGGGCTGATAAAGAAAAGTTATTTATTAGTTCCCATAATAGAAGAACTAGAGGACACCAAATGAAATTAATGGGTAGCAGGTTTAAAACTAATAAAAGGAAGTTCTTCTTCACACAGCGTGTTGTCAACCTGTGGAACTCCTTGCCAGAGGAGGCGGTGAAGGCTAGGACTATAATAGAGTTTAAAGAGAAGCTGGATAAATTCATGGAGGTTAGGTCCATAAAAGGCTATTAGCCAGGGGATAAAATGGTGTCCTTGGCCTCTGTTTGTCAGAGGCTGGAGAGGGATGGCAGGAGACAAATCACTTGATCATTGTCTTCGGTCAACCCTCTCTGGGGTACCTGGTGCTGGCCACTGTCGGTAGACAGGATACTGGGCTAGATGGACCTTTGGTCTGACCCAGTACGGCCGTTCTTATGTTCTTATGTTCTAATGAACACTTGGGGATCCAGGTTTGTTTGTTACAGCCAGGGGTTAATTATAGCAAAAGAGACAAGGGACAGGGTATCTGTCAGCTTGAGCCCCACAGTGGGGTCTGACAACTCCTTTGGCCCTGCAAGATTGAGGGATGGGGAGATGATAGCTTCTGCAGCCCCTCAGGGCTACAGTGGGGCACTGAGCTTTGTTTGGGGCCAAGAGAGCTGTCCGCCCTGGGGCTGCAGGTGGGATCTACAGACCAGGCTTTCGATAACCTAATTGTTACCGTACATCAGGGCTGCTCAACTTTGGAAGCTCCAGGGGCCACAATGATGTTCTTAGCACATGCTGAGGGGTGCAACTTAAGTGCAAATATGTATGCAAATAGCTTTTTTAACAGTGACAGGCATGAATACAAAAATTAAGGTAAGACTACACAACACACAGGCCCCATTTAAGTCAGTTCTGCTGATTATTAATAAAATCTACCCGATTTCCACCCATGTGACAGCACTTCTAATGAGCAATGACAATCCAGGAATTTAACTACTAAAACACATATCAACAGAAGACTATTGTATAGACTACTTTTTTGTTTCAGCTCCTAGCCATGTGTTGAGCTCCATGTAAACCCAAACTGCACCGTGGGCCGCAAACAAATGGGCCATGGGCCGCATGTTGAGTAGCCCTGCCGTACATGATGTTATAGTGAGAGATACTGTAGTTTTTAAAAATGCCCTGAGTGGAAGAATTATTTTTCATAATGGGAATATATCTGCATAAAACATACTTCAGTGAAATTGCTTTTTTATTATTATAGACATAAATGATTTTTCAAAAAATCGATGATGCAAGTACATGTAGGATCTCCCTGGTCCAGCACCCTTGGGACTAGGGATGTAAGTGATTAACGACCAACGGATAAGCAGGAGCTTATTGGTTAGCACTGATAACTAGTTGCTTCCCCCCTCACCTCTCCAGCTGCAGCTCTGCTATATTAAGAGATGGGAGCTGGCATGTGAAGACTCTGGCTCAGTCCCTGCTCCCACAGGTCATTGCTCAGCTCCCCCTGCCACAGCCCAGCTGAGCCCTGTGCCAGCTCCTGGCACCCCCCTGCCCCTGCAGCCCAGATGAGCCATGCACCAGGTTCCCCCCCCCCTACTTGCAGCCCAACTGAGCCACATGCTGGCTCCTGGGCCCCCACCATAGTTACCTCTAAGGTGTGCGCCTGCGTGGGCATGCACCAATAACTTGAGTCCCGCCCACCTTCTTATCAGGGTTGTACAATGATTGCTCAACTGCTCATTTGGCGGAGTTTTGTGGCAAGAGTCTTCCCTGCCCCAAGAGCAGCTGGGCAGCCATCATATAGCCCTGGCCCTAACATCAGCCCTTCCCCAGGGCTGGAGCTGCATCCAGAGCGGGCTGTATGGCGGGGCCAAGGCCAGAGCTGCCACATGGTGGGCTCTTGCTGCTGGGGCTGGAGCTGCATAGTGGGGTCAGCTGAAGCAGAGCTGCATGGCTGGCGGTTGCCCTGTCATAGGGCTGTCCTTAGAGGTGGGCATATTGGGCCCATGCCCAGGGCACCACAGCCAGAAGAGTGAGGGGCAACTGGGTATGGGTGTTGCTGGGCAAAGTGGGTGGCGGGTACTGGGCTGGGGGTTGGGGACACAGCTGGGAGAAAAGTGTAGGAGTTGGGATGAAGGGGGCACTGCAGAAGTTAGAGGCAAAGCGGGCACAATGCAGGGTTAGTGGTAAAGCGTGCACAGAATGGGGCTGTAGGGGTTGGGGAGCCCATGGATGCAGGAACAGTGGGAGCAAGGCTGGGTGGAAGTGAGACTGGGTGCCAAGCTGGGTGGTTTTTCAGGGTGGGTGAGTGAAGGGTCATTATCCTTTGTTTTGGTATTTTTTCTTACATAATTTAAATGATCTCTCTCTATAAAAAGCTTTTCCTGTGGGATGACAGAGTGATATGAAATGGGCGGGGGAGTCAGAGGCTTAGTGCGCCCACTGAACCAGTGTCCGCCTGCCTCTGGGCCCTGCCCCTAGCCTGCCCTGCCCCAG